GTCTGAAAAACAGCCTGGAAAATGACCTGAAAAGGGCCCAGGGAACAGCCCCAAAACAGTCTTTTGGGGGGGGCATTTTGGCCATTTTTTTGGTTGTTCTCAGATGCAGTTAGTGACAGCCCCCATGCTCATGGAGAGGGTTCAGGCACGCATACCATAAGTTTTGTTCTGACCTAGGCTTCCTGATACAGTAAAAAGCACATGCTTAATCCCCCAAACCCTCTTTTTATTTCAAAGGCTGTGAATTATGTTTGTTCACAGTCCGTAATGAGTCCAAAATAGTTGTAAAGAGTCCTACAGTAGGCTGCCAAAGTCTTTCAAGATAAGGCTGATAAACACCTACCTCTATCTTCCTTGAAATGCTGCCAAAGACTTAATTGGCAATTAGTTTGGCAAGGCCACATGGAGCACAGAGTCAAAACAGACCTTCAGAATGTAAACCGACCAGCATGAACAGAGTTGCTTCCTGCAAAAGCTCATGTGCTTTTGCTCCTCCTTTATGCCCTATGGGAGGGGCCAATCACCTCCAAGCCCTACTCCCAAGTTCTCCCTTTTGTTTTAACTATTCTTGCCTTCTGGCAGTTCTGCGCATGCGCGCACTGGGAACAGGCTTCCCCTGTTCCTCTGCCTTGCTGATGTCCGACTCCAGAGGTTCCCGAAGCAGCACATAACTCCCAGATGGGCCGAACCCTGACTGGGGAATTCTGGGAGTTGAAGTCTACCCATCTTAGCTTGAACTTATCAAGGATGAAAAACATTGTTTTATGGGCTTACTGAATGAGGTCTTCCCTCCCACAAACTAAATTAAATAGTAAAAATGGATATGGTACAATAGAACATGCATGTGAAACCAACCAAAGAACCCGCAAATATGTGGTGTGAAGTTTCATCCATGAAAAGTGGTCGGTTTGGGGATTGGTGCTGATTTTTACTTCCCATTTCATTTTCTTCTGAACTTTCTTTCATTTCAGTTTGGCCACCGTTCAGGTTTTCTACCAATCAACCATCTTGTGATTTGCCTATCAGAAGCAGGTTTGCATATTATCTGCCTGGGAAATTCTCGGCACAGAATTTAATCTCCAGGTCTCAGAACATTAATTTTTACATTTAGCCACTGCAGCATCCCATCCAGCTGCAGGGACCATCTAAAGATGCCTGCAGAATAACTGGTTGGAAAGAAAGCAAATTATTTTCTGAGATTGCACAGGATAAACAGCTGCCAATATGGGTAATTTTTGAAGCCGTCTGTTGAAAGGTCGGAAAAGAAAAGCAAAAAGAAAGGAGACAGCTTCAAAATGGCTGCGAAGAAACACAGGTAGGAATTCAATGTCAAATTCAATGTACTAAGTGTTGTGGCCCGCCACAATATGTCAATGAAGACGGCATCATCCAGGCCAAAGGAGTCTTTCATTGCTCCTCCAAGTAACTTCATCACTCAGAGCAAAAATTAACTATCAATTGTCTCAGATTAACAAAGTTTGGCCCAGTTACCATGATTCAACCTTTAGACCAGAGGTGATATTCAGCCAGTTTTGACCAGTTGTGGCGACCCAGAAGCGGAAATTTTGAGTAGTTCAGAAAACCGGCAAATACCACCTCTGGCTGGCCCCGACCCATCTATTCTCTGCCCTCCCAAGTCCCAGCTGATCAACTGGGTCTTCTTCTGTTGCCCTGCACAGGGGAACGAAGCTGGAAAGCAGGTTGGGGCGGGGGGGTGGAAATGGAGATTTTACAGTATGCTTCCCCTGCCATGCCCATCAAGCCATGCCATGCCCACAGAACCAGTAGTAAAATTTTGAATCCCACCACTGCTTTAGACCCCTGTGGCCTGGATGATGGAGTCTTCATTACATATCAGATTGCATTGGGGGGAGAAACCCCTGACGTTGGTGTAGCAAGAGTTGGTACATTTCAACAACTCGTTGACTTTCTACCTAACTAAGTTAGCTCTGACTGAAGGAGCTGCTTGGATGAGCACTGAAATGCCTCAGATTAACAAAGATTGGTCTGGTTGCCAGGATTCAACCTTTAGGGGTGTCAAACTCGATTTCATTGAGGGCTGTATCAGGGCTGTGTTTGACCTTTGGGGGGAGGCATGGTGGGCGTGGACAGGGTGGACATGGCCAGCTCAACATCACTCATGTCAGGGGCGCTTGTGGTGGCCCAAGTGCTCTGCCAGTGAAAATGGGCTCCTGAGCTCCGTTTTCCGCTGTGTTGGCCTCCTGCAACCCTCTTCCGGTGAAAACGGGGCTCGGGAGGGCCGCTGCCAGCCCTCACAAGCTCCATTTTCACTGGCAGAGGCACTGCGGGACGACCTTCACTGTTTCCAAGGTAGCCCTGAGGGTCAGATCTAAGCAACCTGTGAGCCAGATCCGGGCCCCGGGCCTTGAGTTTGACACCCCTGCTTTAGACAGTCTGGGTGAAGAGTTGCTCACTACTATTATATGCATATCAAGAGATGTTGACTGATGTGGGCTCCATAATCATGACTTTAATCCAGGGGTGAAATGCAGCAGGTTCTAACAGGTTCTGGAGAACAAGTAGCGGAAATTTTGAGTAGTTTGGAGAACTGGCAAATGCCACCTCTGGCTGGCCCCACAGTGGGGTTGGAATGGAGATTTTGCAGTATCCTTCCTCTGCCACACCCACCAAGCCACACCCACAGACGTAGTAGTAAAAAAAATGAATTTCACCACCACTTTAATCTCTATTTAATAAATTTTGTTGTATACATGATGTACAATGACAATAAAGACTATACTAGAGAAAAAAGGGCAGTCTTTTAGAGTTGTATCATAGCGTCTTTTGTTGTGTCTCGGACACTTTTTAAGAATTTCAGAATCCGCGAACCCCCAGTCCCTACCCCTTCTAGGAACGATGGAGGGCTTGTGGTTTGAGAAACGTTGTTCTTGGCTTTTTTGGCTGCTATGAGGATGTACTTGGTGACCATGGTGATATGGTAGGTCCTTAGTTCAGAAAGAGCAGCCACGCACATGTTATACAGGGTCTGAAGGTCTTGGTTTCCAGAAGATAAGACATGATCCTTCAGTCGAGGGACAGACCGGATTTCTTCAATGAAGGCTTGATGGTGAGGAGGCATGTATTTTCTCATCCTGTGCAAAAATGCCGCTGGTAAAAAGATACCAAAGCAATGGATAAGTGGGGTTCAAGGCAATTTAAAATGATTGAGTCCGCCTACTCAACAAATAACCCTTTAGATATTTTAAAATCCCTCACAATTTCTAGCCCACAAGGTTGATGTAGGAGAAGAGTCGGGAAAGCTATGGGGCAGAGTCAGAGGTAGGTTGCTATCGGTTTGGCCCGGATCGGCCAAACCGTTAGTAGCGGCGGCAGGAGGCTCCGCCCACCCACCTGGACGCTTCTGCACAAAAGTGTCCTGCATGCACAGAAGTGTTTTGTGTGTGCATGCAAACACGTGCAGGAGCACACCCGAACTGGTACTAAAAAAATTAGCAACCCACCTGTGGGTGGAGTGAAGCAAGTCATCAGCATAGAGTCATTATGTTCCCATAAACAATCTAAATCCAATCCCTCTCAAACTCTGTTGACTCTTATCCAGTGTCAATTTAGCACTACACATTAGTGTCACACCTGCAGCCATATTTCTCTTTGATCTTTGGCCTGACATACTTTCTATTATTCTACTATGCTGTTTCTATTGTGGGAAAAGGGGAGGGGGGATTGTACCGAGTTAGATGATATGTAGCCATAACAAAATTCTTTCTAGAAAACCAAGGTCATCCTTTGTCTCTGCACCTCTGCACCTGACTAGAACTGTTTGGGTGGAACTGTCATCATGGCCGTGAAAGATTGGACCATGTGATGGACTTGTGGGGGGGGGGGCAAGATCTTGAACTTTCATCTGGGTGGGGAAAACCGGGAAGCTTTCAGATTCGGGTTTTCCCAGATGTGCCAACATGGCTCTCTTAATAAATTGGAATTTTGAGCAATACTTTGCCTTAGACTCTGGTTTACTTTTGGATGCTTTTCGGAACCCCGACATTTAGTTGGTTAGATTTGAGTGGTGCAGTGACCTAGAGGTGGAGGTCTTGCCTCACAATCAGGGAGCTGTGAGTTCGAGCCTAGGTAGCAGCAGATATTTTTTCTCTGGGCAGTGAGTAATTATCCACTGCAAACTCTGCATTGGCAACAAGAAGGGCATCCGGCCACTAAACACACCGCTCCATTCAGTTGCCATGACTCCACCTCGCTGTAAGGGATTACGGGGTCATTAAAAGGCCCCCAAAAATTAGTTGACTAGATTCTTGTGGATAGGTTTGAGCAATAAATTTTAACACAACTTAACATATGGTGTTGATTCTTCACACCTGAAAAGCAACTTGCTAAAAGCAACTTGCTAATAGGTATATGGCTACGGAAAGCTGTTCTATAGTATCAGCAACTGAGTCACTATAGACAAGCCAATATGGTACATGATGGGATTACTATCCAAATTCTTTCCATGCCTTTTCACAATCTCTTTGTTTAATTTCCATTCCGCACATCCTCTTTGATCTTTGTCAACATTCATCCTGAGCATCAAAGCTAATTTGGCAAAGGAAGAACTCTTCTTTCCTGACCTCTAATTTTCAACTTTTGAGGAGCTACAAGAAGTTTAATTAGTTTCCTCCATGGGTGAGACATCTGTAGGAGGAGGAGGAGGGAATAGAACTGGCAGAGAGAGTGAGAGAGACAGAGGTGGATCCTGGGCCATCCGTCAGCCCTCAGATGGAGAGTCAACAGCCCCCAGGTCTGGAGTGAGCTGATGAGGAATAGAAGGAACAGCTGGGTCCAGTGCCTGATGCATGGATGCGCAGAAGGCAGAGGAGAGGAGAGCAGTAGAAATCTATGGGCCGGTCCTTGGGACGGAAGAGCCACTGCTGCTAGCAAAGCCCCACCCTAGCTCTGGGGATAAAAGGCCAGGGGGCAGAGATGAATAGATGTGGCAGACAACTATTCATCTCCCTACAGGACAGATTTGTTAACTTGCTGTGACCGAGAGAGACTTTTTGCCGGGGCTACTGGCGTTCCTAATAAATGAAACATTTATTTAGCTATAGAGGGTTTGTCATGTTTGGGAACCAGGTCAAGAAGAGTTGATAGATTTGGAAAACCCATTGGGGTTTTATCCTAATTGCAATACACAATGCCGGATCTCCATGCAAGCAAAGGACAGCTCTTACCACTCTCTTTCTGATGTTGGATACCAAGCAGCTCATCGAAGGCATGCAGGGTGGAGCTTTGAGCTGCACTTCCTCCAGAATATGCCAGAGGCTGTTCGCAAAGGCCTTCGTACAGCAACCCTTCAGGTAACGCAGGATTATCTTTCCAACTGGAAAAGGGAAAAGGCACCGATGGGTTGCACAAAAGAGGACCAGTGGATAGCCTTCTGTAGCAGCCAATAGCAACAGCCCTTAGACTTATATACCGCTTCACAGCCCTCTCTAAGTGGTTTACAGAGTCAGCATCTTGCCCAACAACAATCTGGGTCCTCCTTTTACCGACCTCAGGAGGATGGAAGGCTGAGTCAACTTGAACCTGGTGAGATTCAATCTGCCAAACTGCAGGCAGCCGGCAGTCAGTAAAAGTAGCTTTCAGTACTGCATTCTGACCACTGCACCACCATGACTCAGTGCCAATTAAGCAGAAGCAGCAGCAGCTAATCAATAATGCCAAAATAATACCCTAAGATCTAAACAGAATCAGGACAGGCCATGCCAGAACTAAGGCAAAGTTCTATGTGGGGAATAGCTGAGAGGCCGCAAGGCGATTGTGGCGCATCAGAACAAACAATAATGCATATTGTTCAAGAATGATCTGTCAGGAAATTTCAAGGCACTTGAATAGGTTATTCTACCTATCTAACCTATCTATGTTGCATGACCACAGTTTATTGGCAACTGCAACTATCTTCACTCCCGTACTGTTGTGAATCTTTCCAATCTGGGAGGAGGAGGAGGAGGAGGAGGAGGAGGAGGAGG